GTAAATACTTTACAGCCAGATTTGCGTCCAACATATAATACGCCTTTGACATGCAATTCTGTGTTTGGTGAAATGAAGAGCGTGCGATCCAAATATATCTCAGACAGACAGAAGTCAAAGTGTTAACTTCTGCCTGCAGCCTAAATCACTTGCAGTGATTACAACATGTCACGGCCCCATTAAACTGCCCTGCTTGACAGAACAGGACACCCAACGTGAGGCAAAACTGGGTTAAACAGTCCTCGCTACCACAATGAACCAAACATACCAGCCGTCCAGGCACAAGAAACCTTACAGTCGTTAGCTTCAGGAATAGCCACGGTCCTGGAGCAAGTGCTGCTCCCTTGACCTATAATCATTCATGCCACAGGATCAGTAATGCCATTCCTTTTAGGGTCTTTTTAACTTTTTTGTCTGTCAAACAAAATCTTGATTTTTTTCCCCCTTCTATTCACAGAAACCTGTTCTGTAGAGGAAGTATCAGAGCGGTGTTTGCAGAGCACAACTGCATCAATCATTGAAGAATTCACTGCGTTTGTCACTTTGGCATTTGCCACTTATATTTGGAAACCGAGTGCAGAAGGCTCGCCTGCTTTTCCATACTAATTAACACGTAACACCAGAGTGACAGGACACCTCGTCATCATCGAGATGATGCCCTGAGATGTTGGTCACTTGATCATGAGTGTGTTGTTCACACACAAGATGTCTAATTTGCATAATCTTTCACCACAGTGGAAACTCATTCAGCCACTGTTTGTTTCTTTAAAAAGTTCCATTTAATATATGATAGGGTTAAAATAAATCCTTTTTTAATCGACTTAACGTTTTCATGTAAGGATGGTGCAGCAGGGATAAAACAGGTTGGTGGGCTGGGTCAGGCCTTTGAGCCATGCGTCACCCACGTGGGAAGGCATCATGTCTTTCAAGGGCCCTCAAAACTATAAAGACACGATTGTGTGTGTGCGTGTGTGTGTATACAGGTCTGATTGGACGCAGCCTGAACCTGCTGATTGTGCTGGCACGTCTATGTCCTCTCCATCACCGCAGCATAGAGAAGACAAGTCAGAACAGCAAGGTCTTTCTTTGGGTGGAGGATTGAATTAGTGATGACAGTCTCATGACCTCTTACTCTCTCCCTGACACACACACATACACCCCCACGCCCCTGTACACACACACACACACACACACACACACTCAGTGCTACCCTACTGTGTTTCACGTGCACACAACCGTACACACTTGACACTTAAAGCCCCATTCAGAAGGTCAAACAGAGGTAACAAAAATGTCCCACTGGAAGATGCTCATTATATCATGGTCTAATAGAAGAGTAAGTTATTATTTTTAAATGAGTTTGTGGAACTAGATCTGTGTTAACAAGATAAAAAAATGGTGAGTTTGGGTTCATTAATATAATAATAAAATAGTTACTGATAAAATAAATGCTCATTAATGCTAGTCCTGCATGTTGCGTGCTTAAGTAAACACTGGTTGGACGTAGCATTAATAATCACTCCACTGCTGTGACAACAGGTGGGTTTCATGTCAAATTAGAGACAAAGATTTGTTAGTCCTGCACTGGGAGACAAACATGTTGACAACAATGGGAGCACAGAAGGCCAGACATCATTTGCTGCACATGACTGCATGAAGCAGATCATTAAAACCTCTTGGATGTTTAAAGTGTAGCATAATTACATTAAAGAGCAGCAGCAGTGACAAATCAGTAAAGTGCTCATTGTCACTGCATACAGTCCACGTGCATAGACATAAACAACAAAAAGCATTCTGAGACTGAAGGCGTGATGATTTAGGAATTCTACTTAAGAGGCTAAGATAATGTAAGTGACAATGAATCATTTTATAATATATTACCAATTCAAACAAAACATACATTTTTGTTATAAAAAATATACATTGTGAAATATTTCTCATTCCACTCCTGTTAAGTAAGTACTTCGGTGAGTTCACTAAGGTACGTATTAGTGAAACAAGAAAAACAGGAAGAAGTTTTTTTATTTTTAAAAAAGATTTGCTTCTGGCACTAAGTCAATAAACATCCTGGAAATTATGTAAGAAAACCACTGGTGCCACAGTGTCACCGATGGATATTTCCATTACGTCATGACTTTTAATAAACTTTTATTCAATTAATTAGGCTAACGTTGTTAATTTTCTCTTGCATATTATGAGATTTTTGGCTTGTAATCTTTATATGACATTTGTTTGTCTGTATCTGTGGACTTTTTCTTTAAAGAACAACCCACGTTTAAATCTCTGCAAACTTGTCAGCCATGACAACAAGTTAATTCGAAAAAAAATAATTCTGTGTTGCAAATAGGATCTTGGTGATTGGTTTATTTCAAATAAAAAAGAAAGTGTTTTAATCATTTTAATTAGGCTGCTTAATGGTATAGTTTTGTAATCTTTCAAATAATGCTGCCTTTGCCTGTATTTTCATGTTTTATTTATTATTTCTTCTGAAAATAATTGCAGCAATGTCTTGTTTTTAACTACATTTTGTTGAGCAACAAAAAGCTTGAAAACTACATGAACAGTTGGAAGAAACAGGGAGACCTTGGTGCCAGGGCTCCGGGAAGACTATTTTTGAATAGTTTATTTTGAATTTCGTAAATAAACCCCTCATTTTGTCAGTAAACAAAATGAGCTGTTACATTTTGAAGTCACAGTATGTCTTGTAATCAAAGATATTTTGTGTTTTTAATGATTTGTTAAGTCACTGTCGGAAGCACACAGTTCCACAGGTAACATTTACCTGCCCTGATGTTTAAAGTTTAACTCCTGTGTTATGGGGAAAAAAAATTGTGAAGGTTACACAATTAAATGATACACAGTAGTGTTGTACTAATGAGCTAACACAAGTAAACAACACCTACTGTTGGGCTGTATGTTCAGTAAATATTACAAAACAAAAAAAATACATACATATATTTATCAGCTGTATTTCCTGTGAATGTATTATGAGGTACCAGTTTGTGATATTATTATTTTAAAAAATATTTAATTTATTTCTAGTGTTTATGTTGAATTCTTTAATGAATACAATTTGCAGCACTTAAACTAGTAAATTCTATTTATTTGTCATGACTAAACTGTGAGTCAGTGGTCGCAGTGTGACATGAGGTCACCTGCTGCACCTAGGACTTGTTCCTATGAAGCAGAGTAAAGAAACCGCTACAGGTACAGCAAACACACAGTGTTTACTCCACATGCACTCATCCTTTCTCCCCTCACTTCCAGTATGTGGAGTGCGCGGTGCGGGGAAGGTGATGTCGTAAAGCTGAGTGTCGTAAACCAGGTGCGGAGAAAGGGAGGTGAAGGGGAGGTGTGAGGGAGGGAGGAGGGAGGGAGGTAGGGGGTGAGAGAGGAGGTGACTCTCCGACAAGCATTTAGACACAACGAAAGGATCATGGCGGATGGCCCCAGGTGTAAGCGCAGAAAGCAGGCGAACCCGAGGAGGAACAACGGTGAGTAAAAAACCTATTCCCGACGTGGGGCTTCTCTGCCGGGGACGAGGGCACCCTCTGTCCCCCGGTGATTTTAGGGAAAAGTTTGTCAGAGCGCTCCTTTAGGTACGGAAAGTGGTTGAAGTAGCAAGTGAGCGCTGTGTGGTGCACCGTTATACCTGGGTCGCGTCTCACCCTCCGCCTA